CTCCTTCGCCTACTCCTAGTTCCCCTAGTTCCCCTAGTTCCCCTACTTCTCCAACTTCTCCAACTTCTCCTAGTTCTCCTAGTTCTCCTACTTCTCCTAATTCACCTAATTCTCCTAATTCTCTTACTTCTTCATGGCACTAATGCAAGTTGTGCCAACGCTCTCTCCTCTGATTGTCGTTAACCTCAGGCAGTTTCTCTTTCTGATCAGTTTTCTACAGCTCAGGGACAACACACCTGGTATCCAATTTGTACTGTCCATGCCGAACTAAGGTCTGCGTCTCGGCAAGCTTGCCGCCACGACAGAACATGCATCTTTTCTCAACCGATGAGTCTAATCTCAAACGTCCAGAGACAGCATGGAGTTTACGATGATGAACCTGGATGCTTGGGTCCAAACCAACGGTCTATGGGTTTTCAGATCGACATCAGTCGACAGGGTCGAGACTATGTATCCTGCGGCACAGTTTTATGCATCCCTTAATTGGGAGAGTGACGGCAAGCTCCTCCCCTATCCCACATGGTCCAAGCGACGAAAGAATATGTGCCGGGGAGTATTGACAGAATGGTATATAAGGAACTACGATCCCTCCCCCCGAAATCCTGAGGCAATGAACAGACATTCAAGACACTCACAGACCTCATCAAGCCAGTTCTCCAGACCCAGTTTCCAACCCTACTTTATCCATAAACTACCACAATGCCTAAAGCAATGAAGCTCAATGGAAAGTCCCCTGTCACTCCCCCACTGGCCCAAACGCCTCCATGTACCCCTATCGATGAAAGTCCCCAGCAGAGCGTGACAACAGGAGATGGGTATCAGCATTCCGATGCGAAAGAACTCGTAGAAGCTCTTCGCGAAGCCAGGGCGGATTCCACCACCTCCAAATCCAATCCCTCGGAAGACACTGCAGGTGGGTGTGCCAGCCCTGAGCAAGATGGAGGTAATTGATATCTCAACTGGAAACTGGGAGCATATGCTGACATGTGTTCAGAGCAGTCAGGCACGCCGGTTGTTGATGCAGCACAGTATGCCTGGGGTGAACGCAAGCCTTCACCTACCGACGCATTGGCTGATGCGGACAGCTGGGTTGCTAAAGCCCGCAAAGAAAGGGGAAAACCGGAGAATTATGTCAGGGCACGCGCAATTGCCAACCCCACTGACTCTTTCGAGGGTCTTGCGGAGAGTTCCCAGGCTCAGAACGCTTGATCCACTGCGGAAGTCTGGCCGACCTGATGCATTCTTGGATCTCAGTTTTATGCTTGTATAATGGAAAGTTTGATGTTAATGGTCAATCTGGGATGCCCTCTGCTGTTTTGTCTGATGAGATGTTAGCTTCGAGTTGACATTCTTGTGAGGTGGACTGGGACAGATATTCTATCTTTCTGCTTCACATTTCTCTGTTGGTAAATTGTATCTGATGATAACGCCGCTTTAATGCTGAATCTCGATAAGTTCGCCTTGTATCAGGCGCAAGATCCGCCTTGGCTGATTTTATACTGTAGCTCAATCAGTGATAGAAGCTGGTCAAATTTTGTAAACATCATTTGAATCATATGAATCGCATTTGATTGTCTATACTTTTGCATTTTCCGTACAGAATAGTTCGATAAATGGAAGTTAATTATCTTGTAAACCCCATTTCTAGATGCACATCAACAGGAAGCATGGAAGACGATCTCTAAACCAGTCCCTATTTCATTAACCAACAAATCCCATACATGGTGTGGTCTATTTACGGTTGCTTCCAATTTGTCCTGTGGAGAGGGGGGAGAGGCAGTGTAGATCTAGGCATATAAAGCCAGCCCTTCTCCCACTTTACTTCTATCACTCCATCTTCCCTTTTTCTTCTCAGAGGTCATCCCAGCTTTGCAAACTATCCGACACTACACTTCTATCATGAGCACCCGAACAACTCGAACTCATAAGATCGAGGAATTAGAGACTGACTCAGTGAATAGTAGAGGCAGCAGTGGTTCAAGTTCTGCCACAGATGCAACAGAAACTCCCATCATTTTATTAATAACAGATTGTAACTGACATCTGAATGCAGAAAACAATAATAGTGTTGATCAAGAAACAACTATGACTGAGAGAGCTCAGCAGCAGAGCTCTGTTGAGTCTCAGAACAACATCTCTTTAAGCTTTACTGATTCAATGAAATCAACATCTTCAATGCAAACAACATTCATTTGAGAATTGACAGCTCATGATTCTGTACATTGTGAAAAAAGCACTGCTGAGTAAGTCATCTGTATCATTCTTTTCATAAATTCACTGAACCTCCAACCCTCAAAATCTGTATTGAATTGGACTCAATCAATTCATACAACTCTTGCAGATAGCCGGCTGATAATGTCTTTTCAGCAAATGTATAAACCTTTTAGTCAGAAAAAGGTGGGCTACATTTGGAAGAGGCTGGAAGAATATACAAAACAGCATATTCATAAATTAGATGACTTTGACTGTGCAGTAATTATCACAGATATCAAAACTCTATTTTCATATATTGCACTTCTGAAGTCAACAATCAAAACCCATTAGATACAGTTGCAATTTAAATCTAAATTGAAGTTTGTTAACTGACACAGTGATATTAGACTGAGTCACAATCCAAGAGAACCATGCAACCCACTTGAGCTGCAGGCCAGGAAAACTGTGGAAAACAGCAGTGATGATATTAGAAATGCGCATGTAGAGAGATTGCTATGGCAAGAAGTACATAGAAGAGCAGCCATCTGGCTATGAGAAAGAGAAGTGTATTCAAATGCTTTTTAGTATCACTACTCATTGAAATCAAGATGCAAATTTCCGCTTTTTTATGTAGACTTCTGGTGAATTTGTTAAAATACTAAGAACTTATAATTTTCTCTTTCAGAATCTTCAGGCAATGGGTCAACAATTTTCCGGTTAGCCTGTTTTTTGAGATTGTTTACCTCAGCATACTCCAACCTCTTCTCGATATTTTGCCAAGTCCTGGGTAATATATTCTGTACAATCAGGGGCCAAACAGGTGCTCATAAAATGATTGAGATAGAGGTAAGGTTTGTTTGGGGATCCCCTTTTAAGATCAGTTGACAGAAGAAAAGAGATCAAACATTAGTTTTGTATTTGAACTTCTATACCCACTTTCCCTCATCAGCCGTCTGCCACTAGGTAAATATTTTCTTCACGTGTCGTCCCGTTGCACGATATGCGTAGAATAACGCAGCCATGCGTAAAAAGGGCGACTGATATCATCAGCTCCACTGCAAGGGTTACCCCGGATAGCGTCCAAAATCTGCCCATCAGGCTCGTTACCTGGTAGCGCTGTAATTGGTGGATCTCCAGCAGCTATTCCAGGCACCTGTTGGTTTGAGGAACTGTTTGGTCTTTATTGTTTATTGTATTTTACCATCATCATCATCATCATCATCATCATCATCATCATCATCATCATCATCATCATCATTTTTGATCCAGCGGGGAGAATGATATCCCCCAAGCAGGAAGCCTTCCTACAACGGGCAGCGGGCAGCAGCCTTTCTTAAGTCAAAAACGTCCTAAGCTAAAAAAAGATGAAGCATTGACGTCAGTATGACATATGACAGAGCTCAACGAAAAATGACAATCCTTTAATCTTCTCCAGCCGCAAAACTCCAAATCTTCTTCCAATGTCCACAGACTGGTGTCCAAACTACTGTCTGTCCTGCGACCGGCAGACCGATGGTGATGACTTCTGTTCCCAAAATTGTCAACTGATTGAATTGGAAAGCGGTTCCTCTCTTCCTCAGTTCCAGTCTAGGCTAGCCCCCACATCTGGAACATTCCACCACAGCAAGCCTCTATTATCCGCCCAAACATAATCCGAGCTCAGAGACTATACGAGTTCTTTCGACCAGATTCAAAACACAGGAAAACGCCCGAGTGCATGCACTGGCATGGTGGACCTGTTTAAAATCCAAAAATAAAGGATGTGAAATGTTGTTGAATAAATGGCAGAAAACTGAAGTACAGAGGTTATTTAAGAGTTGCAAAATTGATTAAGATTTTGTTGGAAGGCTGTTATACGTTTGCAGCAGTTTGTTGTAAGGTGGTTGAAAAGCGGTTGTAAAGTTGCTGCAATATGCAGGATCAATTCAGAATCTCAAGCCCCTTGTTAAGCGACAGCCCCTGTAGTCGTGCCAACGTGTCTGCAGACTACCATCGGCATCTAATGTCATACTTAGTCATCACTGTCCTGCTGTCCTGCGCAATAGCTGATCTCAAACTACGACCTCTCAGTTGTCTTCAATCTCAATTAACAAACTTCTGTTTTGATAGATTATTTTTCAGCTGCATCTAGATTCAGAGGCAGCAGGCCCAGCACTTGATATGTCTTCCTTCTACCAATCAGACCCTTTCAATGAACCAATGATTGTTGACTAGTAATGCCCAGTACCACTGCCTCGCAATACTCTTTTTGTGCCTCGTCGGTTCATTATTGAGGCAAATAAGATCAAATGTAAAGATTTACGATGCATGGCGCAAAGTGCCTTGCATGATCTAGGTCGTTACGGACAACATATCTTCCGTTTGGATATGCACGGAGACGGTTCGACTCAACTTCGTGAATGGATGAAAGGGCATTCGGCTTGCGCGGATCGATTACCTTTGAAAGCCATGCTAACCTTGGGCTTTCAACGCGGGCGGCTGATTTGAACCCGGGTGATCAGCCGTCTGTTGAACCCGTGGTCGGGACTGAATCAAGTACCGGAAAGAGAATGGGCAAGAAGAATAAAATAAAGCAAAAAGAGAGTATGATGGTCACAGGAGGACAGGCAGATCGATTCTGCATCTATCGCCAGGATGGCGATGAGCACATCCCAGCGCTCGCTATTGAGTACAAGGCGCCCCACAAGCTCACTCGGGATGAAATCGTGGGAGGGCTGGCTCAGGACATTCATCCTTCCAAAGAAGTAATTGGTAACTCAATCTGACTATCTAAAAATGAGTAAAGAACAAAACAAGGGACAGAAGGACTGAAAGGCTGAGCAGGGTCCATGCTGCCTTCATAATTACCCACACAATCTTGAGGACGAGTTACTGTTTCGTTGAAGGAACAACTTCTTCAGGTGGTCAAAGTGTGTGGCAGGAGGACACCTTTTTAAACTCCACCCTTCTTCCTTTCACTCCTGATACCCGCCATCCATGCCGCTACGTTATCAACAGCCTCTTTAGGAGATCGCCTGTTCTCTATCAAGAATGACAGAATCTCAGCTGGGCTGAATTCTAGCTCCGGTACCTTGCTAGCAAACTCATGTGCTAGTGGGTCGGCTGCTTCCTGTCCAAAGGCAAACCAGAAGAGCCGAGCTATTGTTTCTTTATCTGCGAGGCGGAACTCGGTTTTCACATCCACACGACCGGCTTGCAAAAGTGCGCCGTCGACTAGTTCGACATGACGGGTTGTCATGATTAACACTTGGCCATCTCCTACACCGTCGACAACATCAAGTAGTGTGGTCAGAGAAGCCATTCCCTCAGGCGAGCTTGAATTGACGACCTCCACATCTTCCAAAAGAATAACACAGTGGCCAGGAAGGTTGGCGAACAAGTTCCTCAGGCCGTTGTCGTCGATGCTGGAAAGATTGATTGTGTAGATATCCAAACCAAAACACCCTGCGATGGACAAGGTCAAGCTTGTCTTTCCCGTTCCCGGAGCCCCATGGAACAGATAGCTTCGTCGGTATGGAATGTCGCGATACCGTTCTCGAGCTTTCGAGTCGAGGAAGTTGCGGACATCCTGTAATAAATATTCTATCACCTGCAAATCTAGGATGACGCTCGAAATTGGTCGCACATCCTTGGTCAAGGGCTGCCTCCACCTGTCACCCAAGTGATCAAAGATAGACGTTTTATCGGTCATTGTCGCAAAGACTGGGTTCAGCAGAGTGAATTTGCTTCGAAAGTTGTCTCTGGTGGGTCACGGTTGGTATGGAGAGTCGTCAGGAAAGTTTCTACCCGTACATAAATATATTATTCACGCGTCGTTCTAGCACAGTCACTGAAGTTCGGTGAGGAAAATCGTTGCTTCATCTCCCAAGCGCCAAACTTCTCTTTGCCCCCGCCTTCATCCTTGCATCCTTGTGTCATCTAGGATCGAGCACGTGACCCGTCGATGTCGACCCCACCAGCAATAGATGTATTTCCGGTATCGGAAAATGTTAAACCGACAAACTGCCCCCTACCCTGGAGCCCTCCGGCTCCCAAACACGCAGATATCTTTCTATCCCGTTTGCGCCACTTTTGAGTTGGACAGGAGAAACAGGGATTACTATCTAGGTGGCCCGGGACATCATTCAACACAACGATTTCATAGTTTTATTTGAGACAGGTGTATCAAATCTATTTAACAGAAGCCCTTTCTCCGATCTGAGCATGACTACTTCTTCCTTGGCTTTTTGAATTGCTTGGGTGGCTGCTCAGGCACCTGAGTGAAGGAGGTAGATGGGGTGATATCTGCTGAACCGATGAAGCTTGATTGGCGGTCGTCATCCTCAAAGGATTCAGCATTTGACCGCCGAGAGAACTGAAGTCCCGCCTGGGAGACATCAAGATCCAGCCCAGGGGGTATCTGACCAACTGCCGAGTGTATTCTTTTCAAGTGGGTTGGTATCCATATATCGTAGATGTTCCTGGTGAATTTGTATGCTGTCCATCTCTCTTTGCCATCTTGTTCTGTGAAATCAAACTTGCGAATCGGGCGGCGGTAGAAGGTAGTCTGCTTTTCTTTGACTAGGGCATAGTGGCCGTAGATCCTCACTGTAGTATGATCATGTGAGATTGAGAAAGCAAGGATTTCCCGGTGAAGCTCCTGTTCACGCTTCACAGCCCTATAAAGCTCAATCACACCTCTCACCGCTACGGTCATGCTGTGGGCGTTCTGCCGGTCCGCTACCTCAAGCGCAACCTCACCGCATTTCACCTCGCATGCCAGAAACGGAAAATACATGGTGTCTGTTGCCATAAGTAAGGAAGTATGAGTCCAACTGCCTATGAAAGGCTGGAGCTTTTCAAGTTGGCCGTGTGTGAATGCAGACTGCCTGAATCCCACGCAATAATCAGGCTGCGGACAGGGACCGTAAAATGGAATGCATTTGTTCCAGGCCTCATTGAAACCTTCAATCAAGATGTCGAGGTTGGTAGCCCCATAAAGAGCCAGAGTCTCCGCGGAAGGAACAATTAACTGTCCAATATCCATAATGACCTTGGCTTCGTTCCTAAGACGTACCATCTCGCAAGATTTTGTGAATAGATCATCCTGGAATCTCGAATCAGTGGGGACAAGTTGCCGTCAAGTAGGGACTGGTATAGCCGTATGCTCTCATCCGTGATGCCTGCATCAGAGTCACGCATAAAACTTCCCTTTGTTCCTAGCAATATCTCGTAGCGACGATGTTTATACGGCGCACTCTTTTCCTCTCTTGGCTTCTCATCACTTGGCGTCGCCGCACTCGATTCTGATCCTTTGCGGCGGAGAGAAGAGGTAGATTTCTTTCTAGCAAGCAGAGAATTCATACTGCTGCCTTGCTTGGAATATTTTCTGGGCCAATGTCCTGTCTGAATCTAATAACGGATAGGACTAATCTCGATCCCGCCGAGGTTGCTCGTCGCCTCCTGGCCAGGTATGTTCTTAACAGTGGGGCTTAAAAGGGATGTTCGCGGCCGCTTTTGGAAGAGATTTACTGGATTTTGAAGTCGATCTTTGACTTCTTGTGGCTGTTTCCGTTTTGGTTTCTGTCTTGCGGAAAGGTTTGTGCCTTTTGGAGGGGCTTAATTGGAAGGTTGCTTGCTGAAGAGGGGGATGGCTGTCTTTGTTCGGTTCTCCTGTCCTTGGATACAGCTCGGTCTTGTAATTGTTCCAGACACACACTTTTGCGAACCAGTTTCTGCACTTGGTCTTTCTCGATTCCTCGTGGCCGCTTCCCTATTGAGGGTTAGTCAAAGTAGGGAATAAATAAGCGTGAACAGCCCACCTTGGCCGTGTCGCACTGAAGGTTGCGGCCCAACCTTTCTGATGTTTGGCTTTCGACGCGGCGCCATGTCGATTGGAAGGAAGAGGGGTATTGAAGGGTTTTTTATGTTACTGCTGGGCCTGGAATAGAATGGGAGGGATGGAGCATTGTCTGCTAAAGTATTGACGAGGAGGCGCAAAAAGTCTTGGCACAGTCCATGGCTCTAATTAAGGTAAGCCCCAACGATAAACGAATAACGATGTAGTCGTCCGTGGCTGGTGGCTGCCTGCGCCACATGCTTAGTTACATAGCTATTTTCGGTGACCGCTTTGTGTGTACTCCGTACTCCGTAATCCATGGCGTCTTTCTAGCTTTCGCCCCGTTCTCAAGCAACGGCGATGAAGCCTAGTTATTTAGCAGCGACACTTGCTGGAAAAGCAGCGCCAATCAGGGAACAGACTCCTCGGTGAGTCACATTGCTTGCCGCGTTCTTTGGCCCCAGGCCTTCAATTTCTTGAGCATGGGGGCGGTTCCGCCGATGGATGAGTCGTCCAAGCGATGCGGGTGCGGATTTTCTCTTGCTAGGTTAACTGGTGGCCCTTCCACGGTAGCTGACGGGTCCATGGGTCTTCGTTAATGAGTCAATTGATGTTTGCTGCCTACGAGCTAGCAGACAGTCCAACTTCCGGCTTCTTTTCAGACCACTCAAAACTCAATCATGACGATGTCGTCGATGGGTGAGATAAATATCGACTAGTCTGCCATATTCTGTTCGGTTCCTTTGACTCCTAACTTTTCTTCCCTTTCCCTGGATTTCTGTCTTACTCCTCCCCAGGCAGGAGCTTGACTTCTATCAGAATTTCTCTTCGCTGCAAAAGTTACTCCATTTGCCACAAGGTTATATACTATATGTAACTGTAAATTATTTTCCCTTCTTCCCTTTATTTCACAGTTAAAAAGCTATATCGCTGGCCCAGCCATGGGCTGTTCTAATTCCACCCAGACGGGTGAGGAGCCCGATGCCGACCGAATCGTGGCCAAACCACTAGACCGCTATCAGAACAGTAGGCTCGTTACAATCACCATCCTTCCACCAGATTTCGATCTAGAAACACTCGAAACTACTCCACAAACGAGAGCTCCTCTGGCGAATAAGCGGGCTTCAACAGCGGATACGGGCGTTTCCCCAAACGTATTTGCTGAGGATGAACTGGAGTTCGATGTTGCAATGATGGAAATAGCAAGCGATGTATTCGCGGCGCATCTTGGAAATCCGGATTTTGCCGCGATATACGATGCTCCCGGCATGTTTGAGGAGGAAAAGGAGTTCGATCTTGCAATGATGGAACTGAGTAACGAAATATTTATGGGACAATATGGGAACCAAGATTTTGTTGCGGTAGTCTATGAGCCAGAAACTGTCCGTGAGGTCAAGGTTGTTGTTGTTGAGGAGTGCTCTATTTGTTGCCAGTCTGTTTCCGAGAACGTTATCTTGTCTTCCCCGTGCACGTCATGTACCTCTCGTACCTGCAACCATTGCATTCGGAAAATGTTCATCTCTGCCTGCGGTGATGAGTCACGGATGCCACCACGTTGTTGCGGCCCTCTAAATATTGGCGCGGCTGTTCCAGTTCTTACTGCAGAAGAATTAGAGCTGTTCAAATACAAACACGAGGAATGGTCGACTGCCAACCGCGTCTACTGCCCTGTTCTCACATGCTCTGCCTTCATTCCTTATAGACTTTTCCCCCTGGAGTTCCGTCCTAATTCTACAAAGCTGGCGGAGCTTAAATTAGAGACCCCCTCAGTGTCCCTCGGCCCAACACAACTACAAACTCCATCACCAACAGCTCCAACTTCGACTTCACTGCCACATCCAGAGCTTGCATCAATCCCATGCCCAGGCTGTTCTATTGAAATCTGTTGCAAGTGCAAACAACTCGCGCACAAAGGCGCGCAGTGCTGTGAAGGTGCAGACGAGCTCGATCCCGAACTAGCCGCGCTTCTGAAACAATGGAAAATCAAACGATGCCCTAAATGCCGTGGCGCAGTGCGATTAATGTTCGGCTGCAACCATGTAGCCTGCAGGTGTGGTGATCAATGGTGCTGGAATTGTACATTGCCTATCGAAGTGTGCCAGCGAAATGGCTGCTTTTACGATGGGACTGATTACGGGGAAGAAGATGATGATGATGACGATGATTCCGACTGGGACGAAGAAGACAACGGCAACGAGAATGAAATTGGAAATGACGAGAGGCCCAATCAAACAACTCCAAGGGTCCGAGACCTAGATCGCGGCGGAAGAAGTCGTTGGGATGACGGAGATTATGAGTTTGGCGAGGAGCCCGTTATACATCACTATGACCCTATTGATTGCTACCACATCTGGACCAAAGCTACCACCGATGATGTGAACCAGAGCCTAAACTATGCTTGTGAAAGATGCTGGCGTGATATCTCACCCTGGTCCTTTTTATATCCCGAAGCGGCAGAATTGGTGGAGTACGGGTTCATTTCCGAAAAGTCTACTAGGGATGAGGAAAGCCAGGAAACAAAACTGAAGCTTTTCAAGTGCAACCGATGTTCCATCATGCTCTGCAATGACTGCCAGGCCGAGGACACATTGGACAAGATTGCCACGAGGCGATGGGAATCGACCTGAAAATGATGCATGAATTACTTAACTACTAATAGGTATTGATGTTATTTACGACCATTTTTTTTGGCGTTTTGAGGGGGAGATGGCCTTGTGAAATATTTCTGTTCTCATTTTTTCAAGTCGTCAATGCATTTTTCTAGCATTTTGCGAGCGAATGTTCTCTTGTCTTCTCCTTGTTTTCACACATTTTTTTTCGCCATTTTTTCTTATGCTAACTTGTTCACTTTCCTTTCTTTATCCCTTGCTTATTTGACTTCATTATCATGAGCATTTTTGTTCATTTACATCCTCTATCTTCGCTTAAGCACACCCTCTTATACGTTTACTTTTTTCAGCCTTTTTATTCTGCCCCTTGAACTCGACATGGATGACAACTGTATATCCGGGCATTTGCATGCAACAGTGCATATTCGTACATAGAGAGAGCATAGTACATATCAATGATACAAACGCCAATTGCGGGTCAAATGCTTTATCGGTCAAATATGCGGGACGTCTAAGTGGTTGTATTAGCAGGTAGACTGCTGAGGCATATATATCCATGGATCGCTGGCGAGCCTTGATATATATCACGTGAGTGATTAGTAACATCGTAGGGGGGATTTTATTGGTTGGTAACTGAGCTCTTTTGCCTTAGAACATCATTTCCGGATCCAAAGCTCTACTCCACCATTGGCGGGGAGGAACGACGGAAGCCTGCAATCCTCAATTGAGCTTCCAATAAAAACATCATCAATTGGCAGCCGGTGCAGCTATCGCCATGATGAACATATCGTCCTCTCCCCTCCATATCCCTTTCCGCCATCCCTCCTACCAATGTATCCGCCGTCAAACAAAACGCTTAACCCGCATTCCACCTGGAAATGGCCAGCAAAGCCAGTTCCATCAACACCAGCGCCGCCATTTATCCGCAAGGGCGCCGGCTCCCTTGCCGCGGTTTACCGTGAATCCCCAACGAAGAGCCGGTGCTCAGGATCCCACCAACCCTGTGCAACGATATAAGCGGAGCATCGCCCTCTGCGCTGTTGGAATTGTCGCCTCTGCCCTTGGCATGTATGCTGTCATTAGTACATCCGGGTTAGACAAGAACGTCCCGAACAGCAAAACGGGCACGCAGTCGTCATCGACATCAGATAGAGGCTATGACAGAGGCAAAATTATCAAACTCGAGGGTCCAACCGGCCTCACAGCGAACCCAACAACCACAATCATCGACGGCGTAGAGCAAGTTCCCACGGGGAACTCCACAATTCCCACCTTTCCCAAAACCATCAGACTCCCCCGCGATGGCGCTCAAGCACTGTCCACAGGTGGACGAGCAGGCGACGAGTTCCCCCCTGACTCTCAGACGGAAGAATACACCCTACTTGGCGTAGGCATCCGCGCCGTTTCTTTCCTCAGCGTCCAGGTCTACGTCGTGGGCCTTTATATCGCCAGTTCAGACATCGCAGCTCTACAGCAGCATCTCGTCAGGCAAGCTGCGACACCCGTCAGCGCCTCTGCGGCCAATGTAAGTGCTGTGACAGCCACCTCACTCGTTCCTGGCGAGCGGGACGCGCTGAAGCAGATACTGCTGGACCCGGAGCAGGGACAGGAGGCCTGGAACGAGATCCTCAGGGATACCCACCTGCGCACTGCGTTGCGAATCGTGCCCACGAGGAACACGGATTTCCTTCATCTCAGGGATGGATGGGTGCGTGCCATCACAGCGCAGGCGCAGAGTGCAAATGCGCGGGCGAAGGAGGTTGAGGTTGCAGCGAAGCGGGGTTCGTCGATACCCGCTGGTGCTGTGGTGGCTTCTGAGTTTGAGGATGACAGCTTTGGCATTGCGCTTAATGACTTCAAGTCGCTGTTCGGGGGCGGGGTGAGGAAGAATGTGCCCAAGGGCCAGATTCTGTATTTGCTCCGGAATAGAGTGGGGGGGTTGGAGACGATGTTCCATGCCGGGCATGGGAAGCCGGTGGTTTGGCTGGGTGCGATGCAAGATGAGCGTGTAAGTCGACTGCTGTGGATGGCGTATCTGGCAGGGAAGAAAGTGGCTAGTGAGGGGATGAGGAGTAGCGTGGTTGATGGGGCTATCGGGATTGTAGAGAGGCCGGTTGGGACTGTTGAGCAGAGAGTTGCATGATGCTACGATTTAAGTGTGGGCCGCAACAATGATGCATTTGGTTTGTTTTTCCTGGGCATGTATCATTGGATTAAAAATTCAGCATTCCGACTTGCAAAAATTCCCCCTTTTTTTTTTTTTTTGGTTGAGGACATGTATAATATATATATGCTTCGAGTTGATATATTTTTCTACCTGTATAACACTCACAATTAGACGTCCCTAGCAAATTTGAGAGCTTCACATTTTGTAATTCCTATCCTTTTCATCTGCAGAACAGATATTGGGCTATGTATTTTTTTTCTTTTCTTTTTTTGTTAATGACATCGGTTGGATCTCAAGGTATTGTACTGTACAAAGAAACCAAAGCGAAAACAAAAAACCCTCGAAATTAACCCTGTCTCACCAAAATACAAAAGCAAGGACAGAAAAATAACACTCGTCTATCCCATCACCCTTTCCATCAATCTATCAATGTCACCTTTAGAAACTCCGCGTTTTCTTTTTACCCTGCTAACCCCGACATCCGGCCCCACAACAAAAATTCCCTCCAGCCCCTTCAACGCGAAAAAAAAAAAAAAAAAAAAAAAAAAAAAAAAAAAAAATTCGCGCCCAGCACTGTAAAGTAGGAAGACCCTCATTCGCGCAGACGACATCACGCCTTGGACGCTTTAGCAGCCATTGCAGCGCTCACCAGCGCAGACAACTCACCCTTGCGGGCCTGAAGGTCAGAGTTGCCGCCGATATGCTTTTGGCCAATGAAGATGTTGGGCACGGTGCTT